AGGCCACCGATAGCATTTGTATAGCGCAAATTCCCGTTCATCAGGTCACGGGCTCGAATCCAGACAGCGAAGGAAAATTTTCTTTTCTTAAATTTTGAACTTTCACATCCTTTCCTGCTTCTCTAACAATGCTCTGTCGCCTGCTTTCGTCTCCACTTTCAGCTCCCACCTCTCACCTCCTTTGCCCCCTCTTCTGGGCCCCTGACTCTTTCTGTGGCCTTTCTACTGCTACTTCTTGGCTCCCTCTTACTGCTGTTTATCAGCCACACCCCTGATCTTATGATAGATAAGATCCATCAACTAGCCTTCACGGATCAGGGCGAATTATCTCGGAGGTCCCAAGTGCAAGTTTCGCACGTTAAAGATCCCCTGGTGGTCCAGAATCGATAAGAGTAAGTTTGGGCAGCCACCCAGGCAAAATTCAAAATGTCCTACCAACTGAAAAAGTTTAACGTGTCCCGCGCGCTCATATGACTTTGTGCAGATGCGAGCACGTAAAACACTTACCCCCCAAAAAAGGAAAAAAAGGAAAAGAGAAACCCGCCTGCCTCTAGACCGACTACTGACCTGTGTCCGATTTCATGAGCTGTGACTTGCACTCCCAGGAAACGTCCATTGTCTTCCACGATCGACACGCTGGAGCCGTCAGTGCGACACATGGTGGAGAGGTACGCCAAGCCTCAGGACAGGGACACAAAAGCCAATAATAACAGAACGTATAATATTATAGCATTTGTATAGCGCAGATCCCCGCTCAACAGCAACCTCAGTGAGCTTTACATTCTATGCTATTACCCCAGAAGACCTGATACCTTTCTGAACCAGTCTTAACTTCTTGGGAATTATACAGTGCCAGCTGCCATATAGGCGCTAAAACACTAACATACTGACAAGATCTTTCGCTGTCTATGGACTGTTATACATTCCAACTTGGTTGAAGTGAGGAAAATTCGAGTAAAGTGCCTTTCCTAAGGACACAACGTCGGGCCTGCAGCTCGAACTCCCGACCTGCAACCTCATGGTTACGAGTCAGGTAACCTAACCGCGAGGCCACCAACAAAAAGATAATTAGTAGATACTACACTTTGATCGTAACCAAAAGGGCGGGGAAATCAAAAAGTATTGTTTTCATTTCTACTAGAGCACAGCATTCACAGTTCAGTAAAGTGATTTTCCCTTCCTATTAAACATTTAAACCTCGTCTACATGATCTCCTTTTCTTTCCTCTTTCTTATTTTCCTGATTATCTTTCTTTTTTTACTTCCTGCATTTCTCTGTTTCCTTATGGGATTAAACACATACACTTGCTTTTACCTACTTTTCTTACGCTCGTTGTCTTTTAAAAAGTTTTGTTCTTTTCTTTTCTAAAAGAAGATGAAGAAGAAGAAGAAGGAGGAGAAGAAGAAGAAGAAGAAGAAGAAGAAGAAGAAGAAGAAGAAGAAGAAGAAGAAGAAGAAGAAGAAGAAGAAGAAGAAGAAGAAGAAGAAGAAGAAGAAGAAGAAGAAGAAGAAGAAGAAGAAGAAGAAGAAGAAGAAGAAGAAGAAGAAGAAGAAGAAAAAGAAGAAGAAGAAGAAGAATCTTCTTTTCTCTTGACTATTGGGCCACCCCCTCCCCCCCTTCTCTCTCTCTCTCTCTCTCTCTCTGACTCTCTGACTCTTTCTCTCTCTCTCTCTCTCTCTCTCTCTCTCTCTCTCTCTCTCTCTCTCTTTCTCTCTCTGTGGCTGTCCTTTTATTCTCCAGTATTCTTCCGATAATTTCGACTATCACTTTTGCCCTTGCCTGGCTCTAAATGACAGTCCTCGTGTCCAAAGGCACAAGATTAAGGCGTCCTGCTTACCTATCACTCTGTCGTCGGCGTCCGTTTCCCTGTGAAAATTGTACCTAGTACAAAAAAAGGAATTTTCATTAGATTTAACATTTGATATTTAAGCAGTGTAACACAAACTTATTCTATTCTGTTCTTCTTCAATTTAAGGTTCACACTTACCTCTAACAGTTAACCCCCCACACACACACCCACACACACACACACTTTCCGTCTGTCTTTCTCGTGATATCAGAACCTGGTTCAATAAGGTGGTTGTAACAGAGGTAAGTAAAGGTGGTAGGTCTGTCCAAGAAGTAACATATCCAGTTGTGTAAAATCAACCATTGAATGGAAATGTTCCGTTTTACAGTCATTAAATTCTATACATGTCTGCAGAAACATTATTATTTTCTATTCAACCTTAAAACCGTTGATCTCTGTATACTTTTTCATCCAATGTACAATACAATTATTGCTCGTCTGGCAATTCTGGCGATGACCAATACATCGGGCAGAGGAGAATATTTCTCCAGCAAAATAAGAGTTAGAAAAATTAAACTTTAAGATGACTTATGGTCTTTGTGGTGGCCGATGACACATTTTGAACATATAAAAGCTCCGCTTCCCTTTGTGGATGTGCGCAGCTTGTGGGCTTCTCCCTTGTATCCAGCTTTAAAAGAATTGTATAGCGTCATATGATTTGCTGCCCTCTGCGACTGCTGCTCTCCAACTGGATCTGTCCCGAGCAAGGTTCTCCCATGTTGAGGCAATTATGTTAAAGTCCTTCGGAACTTTTTGCAGTACGTCTTTGTTTCGCTTTTTGGAGCGCCAACCTTATGACAGTTTAGAATAGAATACTGCCTTCGGGATTCTGAGCCAGCCATTCTTACAACATGGCCAGCCAAGATAAGCTTTTGAGCTTTGAAAACAGACTCTCGTCATTTGCCCTTGTGACAACTTTGGTGTCTGGTATTTAATCCTTTCATCGAATAATGCCAACAATTTTCCCGAGGCATTTCATACGGAAATGATTAAGCTTCTTGGTATGTCTTTGGTACACCGTCCAGGTCTCGACACCATAAAACGGGGTCGGGAAAAGCACAGCGTTGTAAAATTTCAACATTTTATCTTTGCGAATGCCACAGAAGTCTCAAACTCTTACTCTGAGTCTTCCAAAGGAAGATTTATTCATGTGCAAAGCTATTTCTGCATCGATGAGAGTGTCTGAAGGTAGCGTACTGCCAAGATATTTAAAGCTATCAACATTATTCAGTGTTGTTTTATATATTTAGATTTTAGGGGGAAGGGTCTGGGTATCACCAGGGATATGCTGGAAGAGAACTTCTGTGTTTGCTTTGCAAGTCCAAAGTTTTCACGTAATCTTTAAAAATGATCAACACATTTTTGCATCCCGGATTCTTCATGAGCAAGTAGTGCGAAATCATCGGTAAATTACGGTGCAAAATGTGGAACTGACCACAAACTGATTGTGAGCAAAGTCGTCCCCAGGGATTCCAGTTGGGAAGCGATATGATTTTTCACCGCAAAGCCAACACCATTATTTCTAGTCCCTGCAAGGTCTTTTCCCTTCTAAAAGAAAGTATAGCCGCCACTTAGTTCTTTCAACCAACCTTCATCAGTAAATCTTGTTTCGCTAAGAGTAACAGTATCGAGGTCATAGCGGCTGAGCTCCGTTGTAATGATTGTTTTCCTCCTTTCAATACAGAAGCTATTATCCTGTAGTGCACCAATTTTCCAGCAACCAATTTGTATTTGTTTTCTATACTTTCGACCGCATTGTGGCATCCCTACTGATCACAGCGAACCAGCTCAGGTAGATGAGGTGAGCTTTATTTAGGGTAACATTTCTAGTCTCTTTCCCTTGTGGGATGAGCAGCGTTGTCCTACAAAGGCTATTAAGATAACATGAGTGCTGCCGGATCATACCTTAACCTCAGCTCGGTAATGAAACGACCAAAGCCCATGACCACCTTACGTGCAGGTTTGTGTTAACAGCTCCCAGCCTATGCAAGGCTTCTGTCATCATCTCCCCTGTCGCCGAAGGAATTAGATGGGCATAGACAACAAAGAAATGGAACGGATGTATAAAAGCAGATATCTGGCGTATAAATGTTTGTTTAAAGAGAGAAAAAGAAGCGCAAATATCTGATCACTCTCTCGCCTAGGTGCAATGTATCTGATGCAAGACAAATACAAGACGATCAGATTGGTATCTAGGTATGGGAGGTTGTCAGAGTGTTATTCATTTTAATAACAATAATAATAAATAGCATTTGAATAGCGCATAACTCCGCTCGACAGCAAACTCTATGTGCTTAACACTATATGTTTACCCCAGCAGACCATAGAACACTCAGAAACATTCTCAGCTTCCCGGAAAGCATACAGTGCAAGCAGCTGATTAAGCGCTCAAGCACTAACAAACTGACAAGATCTTTCAATGTCTATAGCTGGGTACCCATTCCCACCTGGGTGAAGTAAGGAAAACTCGTGTAAAGTGCCTTTCCCAAGGACACAACGTCAGGTGCCTGACAGGATTCGAACCCACGTCCTTACGGTTGCGAGTCACTAGGCCTCTGACGTCACCTAGGGGTATCAGGCCCAGTTAACTTGGATCGGAGGGCCCCACGCCGCAGCAACTAGCCAGTATGACGGTCTATAGCCATCCACCCTGATGTTTTACCATTGTCCTGCCGCGCCAACTTTGAAGCTGCTGCTGGGAAGAATGCTTAGAGCTTCATCTGTTACATATGATTTACATCCTATTGCACACTGCTACCTTGAAGAGCAACGAGAGCCACTGAAGTGGTTCACTAAAAATCCTCTAGCATGTTGTCATTCAGGCTCAGTGACCATGTCCACTTCGGCCACAGTCTGCTGCGCAGCATTTGTTTCTTGCACACTTTCTTTTTCGTCTGTAAATCACTGCTCGCGTAGTCTTTCTTTGATTTAAAAAAAAATGTGTGTGATAGATATATAGATAGACAGTCCCAACAGTTCAACATTCATAGAAACGGCCTAAACCTCAAAGACTTCTTCCGGTATAATTTTTAAAAAGGTTTTTTGTTTGTTTTTGTAAAGTGTTTTACGGCGCTCGCAACTGCATAAGGTCATATGAGCGCGCGGGACACACCTAATATTTTCAGTTGGTAAGAAATTTTGAATTTTGCCT